AATTGTTGAGCTGTTTCGCGTAGTCGCGACTACAGAGAACATTACGCTCGTATTTTGCCATTTCGTTAATCCTTAAGTCTCTACTATCGCAGCAATGAAAATTTGTTTTGAAAATGAAGGCGTAAAATGAGCTTACTTTTCCATTTCTTCCCACTACCTTGACTTGTTAACGTACCTCTGTACCGGCGTATGAAATTTTGATAAATTAAGAATTTGTTCATGCTTAGCGTGCGTATATCGAGTTATGAACGTACGCGGGAAGTTTGGAGAGCACGAAAGATGCGTAAGAGTTGCACGAGGCGATAGCCTTTTGAGTGCTCTCCAAACTTCCCAAGTGCATCCATAACTCGATATACGCATAGCTAAAAGCATGAGCAACACAGCTGAAAAAAATGCTTCCTTTCCGATGAACTAAAAAATTCTCGTAACGTGCGACACAATAACAAACGCTTCTATTGGCTGATTACAAACACGCCACAATGGTCTAGTTTGAATGAAAGTTTTTTCTGTAAAACTGGAAAAGAAAATTTGCTTATTTATTCGTTAATGATCAATGAAAACAAAAAACAAACAAAGGTAAAAGAGTCTTAAAGTCCACCTAAAGGTAAAACACTCACATGTTAGTAAGACGTCGTGACGTATGGTTTGGATTTGCTTAAAAGATGTTTAAGTTTTTCTCAGCGAAATCCAGAAAACTTGTTTTTTAGCGAAGACGACTGTCATCCTACTTTAACCTTATATTCATTTACGAACAATGGCTGGTCATTACAGCTTCTTGAGAAGACCTGGCAGCAATTGTATTTGTGAGTAATAAATTTATCTCTTCTTGTGTAATTTGTCTTGTTATTGCAAGAGAAAGTTTTCTGCTTCAGTCGGATTGTTTGGCGATAACAAAAGTGCATAATTTTTGGCTGTTGAGCGTACTTTATAATTAACTTGTTTTGTAGGATATAAGACAAACGTTAACAACGGAGGACACTTTATACAAATTGGATATTTTCCGACACAGACCAATTTGTGGTCTTTTCCCACTTAAATGTTAGTCTTTACGGCAGACTTTTCAACGAATCATTCAGGCTCTATTATTTGCGAAACACCTTCACCGCTTTTGCTGTTGGTTTGAGTGGCTAGAACGAAGCTAAATTCCAAAAAAAGTCTAAAAAGTTTTTTATCATTGCCGTCGATTTTGCGGTACTTAGGAAAAGAGACGAAAAACACAGCTGAACACGTCATCATGAACAAAATCTTTATTTATGCGCGCCCGTGCGTAAATAACGATTTTATTCATAGCAGCACGATAGGACTTATCTGATAGGGCAAGCACGCGCGCTATGTTATAATGTTATATTTCGAACTCTAGGAAGAGTATCCTCGCGGGCAAGCTAATCACTGACAAATGGCCAACCGAGTGTTTTTTACTTTGAGTGTACACTTAACCCAGTCATATTTGTATGAATATGTGATTTTTTTTATCTGAAAGTCCCAGTTAGGGTGCCAGAACAGTAACCCGTTTTTTCCACCAAAAGAGGGTTACTCTTCTTCTTGACGCCATTTACATATTCCAAGTGTCTAGTCGATAAACTGTCAGAAATGATTTGCTGTTCGAGAGATATGAAATATGCAAAGTCACGCAAATAGTTTTGTTTGAAAAGAGTCTGATTAAACATTACGAGATGTAAGGTCCCTAATTAGCAACCTTTCCTACATTTAATAGTCGAACTAGCAGTTGTAGTTAAATGAGGAATGTGTAAAAAAGGTCTGTCGCTATATAAAAAAAGGAGCAAAAAGTATTGTTTGTCACCTCATTACGCTCTGTTAGGTGGCTCGATACAGTTTTTCAGGGCCAACACCTCTCATGTTTGAGCATAAACTACGTCGCCATAAACAAAGTTTTGGAAAAATTGCTATTATTAGATAAAGAAGAAAATTTGTTTTGTTCAGGGTTGCAAAGGCATCGGAGTTGTCATAGCAATGAAATGACGCAATTACCTATTTTACTTGCAGCAGTATATCTCGGCACTGGGAACTGTTCTTCCAAAATCGTTCACGGGAACTTTTTCCTGCAATAGCGGCATCGATGTTCGTGAAGTTTAAGCGAAATCTGTAAGAGCGTTATCGAGATAGTTTGGGATGAAGTTTTTACGGTTAGAAATACAGTAAAAATCGAGAATTTTATTGTTTGGCCGCTTTCTGTGGAAAATGAGGAGCTTTTGACGTGCAATTGCACCTCATAGTCGTCTCAATATTTTTGAAAACGTGTGTGAAAGATCATGGAGATAGCTCCAGCCGATTGCTAGAAAGAAGGGTTTGATTAGGATATATCGAAGCGCTCTTATTAGCGGTTTTGTAAACACTTTGGTCTTCTTTTACTGCCTTACAATACATCAATAATCTTGAAATTAAAAGGCCATATAAAAGAAAGGTTAATCTCAAGAATATTAAATTATTAAAAAAATCTATCGAGCGGTTTAAAAATTATTCGCCAATTTGGTAAAGAAGA